AAATGTTATATTTCTCTCATTTTCTCAAGGTTTACATTATGTAAATAAAAAATGTAATCAAAGTTTATTTATTCAATGTAAATCTACAGACAAATACAAACTAATCAACAAGTTATCTTCTGAATTTTATTTCAAGTATATAAAAACATAATAACTAATAAGTATTAACTTAGAATTACTTGAACAATGTTTGATCAATTTGAATAATTATTAAACTTTGATTTGTTTAAAATATATTAAGAAAAGAAATGTATATTTACTTTACCTGTTGTATAAAAATTTTTTTTGATTTAACGGTTTAATAATGAATGGTACATATTGAATTACCAAGTAATAATATTATAGGTAACTATATACTATATACAAATCGTATAGTAATTTCTTTTATATCAATCTTAAAGATTGTATATATTATATAAATGTATTTTAACACACATACAAATATAAAATAGGCAATTGCATACCTAACTGGAATTGTTTTTTAATTCAAATTTCAACATTTCCCAATATCTCACTATAATACTTAAGAGGACGTTACACCAACATTTGTTGTCTCCGTCTTACAACCGTGTAACATTAGAATGAATCGACCTCTTATAAAATATAAAGGTAAGATTATTATCTAGGCAATGGCTAGGCTTTTTATTATATTTTAATTTTAAAACGAGCTAATCTTAAGAGTTAAGATATAGTATATTATACAAATAATAAAACATTTTAAAATACTCATAAAGTCATAACTCTCTTTAAAATTAAAATTAAATAAAAAATGTATGACATTGCCTATAGGTAATAATTAAATAATCTTACCTTTACATTTTAAAAGAGGTCAAATGTACTCTAGTTTTTGAACTAATGAAGCTAAACGTTATCTGCTGACAGTACAATTTACTACGATACACACTTGTAGGACGGAGACAACAAATGTCGTTGTAACGTCCTCTTAACAGGCATGAATTAAATTGTAATTCTTATTAAATTCAATAATACGTCAATTACTATTTACTAACTAATACTAAGTATCTATTACATCGATTACTTAACTACTATACTTGTAATGACAGAATCACTTTTGTCGTTTTACGATTATTTTTTCAGATGGGGGGGGGGGCAATAATAATAAAGAATAATTTTACAGTAGCTTATAAAACATGTGAAATAAAATAATGATTATTGATTTTAAATGTACAATTTATAGTTTAAGGCACATAAAGCTCAAGCATAATTTACTCACATGTACTAAAGAAATTTTAGTTATATATTTTTAACTACAAAATAATTTGAAATTTTTTTGCGATTTTGACGAAATTTGTCAAATTTTGAACTTGTAAAAAAATATTGTGAACTGCAGTATTTTTGACATTATATGTACATAATATATTAAGTTACAATATTAATGTCAATGTTAATAATTTGAAATTTTAGTTATAACTCACGCTACATAGTTATGTAATAACTTTTAATAACATTTTATGCTCACAAACAAATATTTAATTGTGTCATTATTTACTCTAAGAAGTAATATAATAATAAAGTTTATAACCTTAAAAGTAACTAAATTATACTACAACTGTAAGTTGTAACCATTAACAGTCTTCCAAAGTACGTTGTATCCTGGAACAGTGTTACTTGTAACTTATAACCAGTTGCAACGAATCGAGTAACTATATAGTGCTCATCCCTGGTGGCTGGTTATATTAGGTGTAACAAGTGAGTGTGACCGACGACCGTCAACCGATAAATTTTATTACGTCCTGAAGTCTGAACAATAGTATACCATCATGGGATCATTCTCAATATTTATTCATCGTAGGTACATATGGCCCCATGAAGGCATGAAATAGGTAATGAAAATGAAAACTACTTTAAAATTGAAATATATCATATGATAATAGTTATTCGATTGAGAGTAATTGGAAGTGGTTCAATTTCTTAAAAATACGCATTGCTGTTTCGGAACTCAGAGAATTTTGGCGAGATACAAAGCTTTATAATTTTGAAATCGGACTTGGCAACCGTCGGGATGTTTTTGAGACGGAAGCTTTCTTTTGGAAAACTTAAATTGATGATAAATCTCATATAAAGTTATTTACTCGTAAATCATTTTAGTTATTGCGATTACTATAAGCATCGTATGGTCATTTTTTGTTTTATATTGATTTTTTTAAACAGATTATAGTGACTAAAAAAAAAAATTACAATTACTTACCTAATAAAATTATATAAATCGTATAGGTATACTTTACACGCTCCAAATATGCTATTTACAATATACCTATACTTATTACTTAATATTATTAATTATTTGTAGTTTATCACTTTAGTGTTCTATCCTAAAAGTAACTTAAATTTTTCTTTCATCTCACCTAACATTAATTATATTTAAGTGTTTCTTATATTTTACAAACGTATTTTACTTTTAATTGGCTTTTGAAAATTACTCTTATAATTTACAAAATGCATTCATCGCTATACTAATAAGTAATAACTAATAAACAATGACACAAAATATATATAGCCAATAAACATATCGGTAAATAGGTAATAGGTATGGATATTACGTCCCTAACTTATTAGTTATTTTATTATCATAGATCATATTATTGTATAGCAATTTATATCATACTAATGCTTCCCGTTATAATTGAATGATTATGATTTGTTTTTTTTAATAACGTGTAAAAATATGTCAACAGCTGTTATTATTGCAAACAGTTCACCATAATAACGAATTTATTGTAGTTTACGTATTACGAATTCAGATTTTAAGATTTATGGGTGTGGTATTTTAAAATTGTTGCATTAATCAAGGTAAAATATAAATCCATATATTTTGAAATTATTTTTGTTTAATGCATTACACAGTTTTATAAAAAAAAAAAAAAAAATAAGTTGTGCATGTTTGTTGATTCAATTAATAACTTGATTTCGAGGTTTTCGAAATTCAATTTAGATCTATACTTTGAACAGTTTGAACACTATTCACAAATATTAAAATATGTACGATTACGTATTGTACACTATAGTTTAAATAATTGTATTTATGCACTTATCCTAACTACCTAGTAATTCTGTACAGCTAATAATAAATATTATTAGTATTAAATATAAGGTCTGGATAAACATTCGTTGAAGTCTATTCGTAATAATAATAATAATAATTTGAACAAAATACTCTTGGTTGGTGTAATATTGTAATTTGTTATTTATAACGTTAGAATGAAAACAATAATCTCATAGGTTGATTGGCCGGGAAAACTTTTTCTTTGCTTCATTTCAAATCAATATTGTGCTAAGTTCGATATAGGTATCAAAATGTCGTAATCTAATTTATAGTCTTATTTTCGAATCTCATACACCATAGGTAATCAGTATAAAGGTACAAGTCTGCAACCACTAACCAGATATTTATGGTTTTTCGATTTTAGGATTCTGACAGTTTAAATATTCATAATAAGACTATATATTTATAAGCACAATTTGGGGGGAGATGCTTAAACTAATATTTTCATAGTACGCCCTAATTTTTTTGTGTCTACATAATAGACACGAAACAATTATTCTTCAATTATAGGCAAACAATTGACTAAGAACGAATATGCTGCAGGGCTGTTTCTCAAATTTAACTAGGTACTGAACGAGATTTTATCAATTTATTGAAAATGACGATAAATTGAGAATTATAACATGGACTTTTTGATAGGTAACTTTTATTAAAATCTATAAAATAATATCTAAAATACGATACCTAAATACGAGTATAATAATGTAAATTTATAGGTATTTATTATAATACAATTAGGTACATATAAAATCCTAACAGAGGGTGTAGAGTATAGGGAAATTTTTCACACAGACTAATTAAGAATAACTATGAAATCTTTCGCCACCCTTCCCCCCCCCAAAAAAAAACAACAACATTAGTCCTAGTTGCTCCTGTGATTATATATTGCTTTACTGTCTGTGGATTAAGAAGTTGCAGATATGTACCTCGGGCAAAGCCAAAGCGTATTTACAGTATATTAAGTGAAAAATGTGGGTACATGGGTTTTTCTTATGACGAATGCAACTATATTATATTTGGTATTTTAAATATCCACAAACGGTCGAAAACATGTAAAGCGGCGTGCGCACGACGACGCGAGGTTGATTAAAACATTCTCCATTCGCTTGGCTGCCAAATGGGCAGTAAAATATGCGTCTTTAAAAAATGTACCAGGGGGAGTGTACTTCGAACACGAAATATCGTGTATTCCTATACAAAGGCGAATCATCTTCTTATATAGCTGTATAATATGAGGAATTAGAGGGTGGCTTGGAGGTGATTGGCACTCCCAGTTTTGATAAATTAGCACCCTCAGCGTTTATGCCGTTTGTGGACTAACCAAAAAAATTAGGGTCTTCAGCACCCCCAGTTTTTTCATTAAAATTGCGCCAAGGAGTATAATATGATGGTTTCGGGCTATACGCTATATCATCGTGCCGCCGTCACGTTAGATTACACTTAAGACCGAAACGTCTTGTGCGACACTATAATATTATATATATATTCGAACGGGTCTCGGGCGATGTCGAGACGTCTGTCTGATTCGCCTCATCCGCATAAACTTCGAGGCCTATCGACGTATAATATCTTTAAACTTTGTTGCACGTCGTGTCAAATCCTGCAGTACAGCGAGCGAGCGATATCGCGAAGGACACCACCGCCGCCACCATGACTCTGCAGCAGCTGTATAATACAGTCGCGTACAGGAAAATCCCTCTCGTTTTCCGGGGACCGATAGTGCCAGGGGCGTCTCCAGACTTTGGCTATGGGGGGGGCGAAATAGTAAAAATATTATTAATTTACATGGGATTCAGATACTGAGTGTTATGATGTATCATAAACATCTTTTATTCTAAGCAAAGCGGTCTATTATCTTGTCACTGAAATGTTACATTATTAAAAACAAATCACCATAGTCATTATAGAATACAAATTTATTTTATTGATTAATGGTTTATATAACAAAATCTAAACATCTTTTATTCTTAGCAAAGCGGTCTATTATCTTGTCTACGTTTAACGGAAGCTGCCTGTGTATATGCAAAAGCGCCAAACCCGTTAATCTACTTTGGCCCATTTCACTTCTTATCCAAGTTTTCAACCTAAAAAGCAATCAAATTGAAGAAGAAGCATACTTTAAAATTAAAGCAAAAGCATATTATTTAATACTGTATAGTATTATTATTACATGTATTATTATTTTGTACAGTTATAGTATATTTAGTATAAGATAGTAAATATTTTCTATAGTTGTACTAATTAAATATCAATTATTAGCAAAAAAATAACACTTATAGTAAAATAAAATAAAAATGCAACGTCAAATAAAATTAATAAAGTTACTATAATTCAAACATGTTAAAAATACAAAAATTCATGTTCAAAAGAACAAATATTATATAACATGTTTGGATTCATTAAATAAATGTAAATTTGTATACAACCTTCTAAGAGTGGAAAAACTACGCTCTGCAGTAGCAACGCTGACAGGAAGTGTACCTAAGACCAATAATAGTTTTTTTATACTTGGGAAAAATATGTTAGAACATTCATCAAAAGCAGAAAACACTTCATTTGGAATATTTAATCCTATACAAACAAAATTGAATGAACATTTTAATTGTATACAAAACACAATATAATTAGTGGGTAAATTGAGTACCTTCATTCTTTTGTGTGGTCCATTTAGTCTTCCATAATTCTAATTCACCTCTGAACATGAATGTATTAAAATTAAGGAATGCATACTGGTCACCGACTGTTTGAATTAATTCATCACTAGTTTCTGAAGACATTTTAATTGTGTTTGATGGAATGAGTTGCATTAGCAAGGAAATTGTTTTGTTTTTGTCATTCAAGAAACGGTATCTGATATCTTCTAACACATTATCAATAATAGGTATGAATAATATTCTACGGTAATATTCTTCAATAGAATTGGCTGGTGTATTACACCTTTGATTTTGTTTTTTTACAATTCTTGGTTGCTTAATTTCTACATCTAACTCAGTCATTACATTTTTACTTTCTTCAAATACTTTTTTAAATTGCACATCACAATTAGTGCGTTTGTCATTTAGGGTCTTTATAATGTCATTTATACAATTAGTGGCAGAAGCAACATCTTGTGTCACACTTTGTAATAATTTACTAGCCGCTGAAGTAATGCTTAATATACTTGTAACAGTAAATAATGTCACAATAAACTCACAATTACATATAGAAAAAATCAAAGTTTTGGCTTTTGATGATGAAACATGGTCGTCCCATTCTGAAATATTTATAAGACTATCAACTATTTCTTTCAGGTTTGTTTGAAATTCAAATATACTATCGTGCCGCTCAATCCATCTAGTCTCACATAAAGAAGTAATTGTTCGTTTTTGACCTCTGAGATTATTTTTCAAAATAAAATTGCGTTTCGAAGATAAATTAAAAAATGATAAAACTTCTTTGATGATGCCCATGCTATTTCTTACCAGTTGTACATTGGAGGATTTTGAGATTGACAAATTTAAGGCATGATTAGAACATGGACTATGAACAGCGTTGACACAGCTCTTTTGAATGTGTTGAACGGCACCTCTTATTACAGATGTCATTACAGCACATCCATCAGTTGCAATTCCAATACAGTCATCCAAATGCAGTGACATGTCTTTTAAAACACTAACTACAGTATTGCCTAATATCTCACCAGTCAGTTTTGGTTCTAAATTTATATTTGTACAAGGCTCTATTACATCTAATTCATTATGGTTTGTATATACATAGTTATGACAGTTAATGAAGCCAATAAACCGTTCATGAACCTTATTTTCTTTATCTATATTTCTTAAACTTAAACTCATTTGAGAAATGTGAGAAATATCTGTAGTTTCATCAAATATTATTGAAAAATATTGGCTTTCTCTTATATTTTCCATTATTTGAAATAAAATTTCTTCTTTGCAGCACTGTATAATTTCTTCCTGAGATGTGTGTGAGATATATGTTGCCTTTGCACTAGTTGTTTCCAAATGATTTTGTAAAACTGTATCTCCTGATAGTATCCGAAACCTTAATAGCTCACGAAAATTTCCTTCGTTTACTACAGATAAATTATTTTTATTCTGCTCATTACCTATCAAGCTGCCTTGGTCACGATGGCCACGTAAAGGAATGTTTTGTCGCCCAAGAAAAATCACTGATTCAACAATCGGTTTTAATCTGGCTCGATTTTCAGTAACTTGCTTCAACCTAGTACTATTAATTACATTAATAATTTCTTTTTCCGGATTTTTATAGCAAATTAAAAAATCATTGGCCATTTGTGTTGCATTTATATGGTATAAGTTTTTACTGTGTTTGCTAAAATCACCAGTTTCACCCAATATTTTGGCATATTTATCAAGAGGTACAGTTACCAAACTTTTTAGAGTTACATTTTTATCTTTTCCTCCTTTATTTGCAAAAAAAACACAATAATTGCAAAAAACACCACCTTTTTTTTGTGAATATACAAGCCATTTATACTGAATAAAATGATCCCTTTTGAGGTATCTTTTTTCTTGTTTACCTTTTTTATTATGCAAACTAAAAGGGTATAGAAAATTATTATCAGGAACATTAGGTGCTTCTAAAAACCTTGCTTTTACATGGTCAGTTTGACTACCTTTTTCTAAATAATCACCAATATCATTACTTAATTCAGTTGTCATTGAAAAATGAGTTGTAGTAGGTTCATTCGGTGATTGTTGATTCAGATGTACCTGTGTTACAGAAGATACAGCAATTGGAATCGGATCATTCATCATATTTGTACGTGTGTCTTGGATCGTTGTCTTGGATCGTTTTTCTAGCCATGTTGCAATCGAACCACTATTTTTACGTTTGTTATCGTTCATAATAAGAAATAATTACAAACTTTACTGTCTTTACTTCAACCAAAATAATATATAAATAATAAATATAATAATTAATAAAAACATAATAAATAATTACTGAACTATAAAAAAAGAGTAATATTTAAACAACATCAAATTGAATAAATTCAGTTGACTGATAACAAAATGACAAATATTGGAAATAGGTTATCAAGAATATAGCCGGGAATTATTATCAATAATAATTGTTATCACTTATCTCTCAAGGAGTGTGTTAACCACGGACCACGATTTAAGATATACCTTTAAGGTAAACAGAATCTTGTGTTAACCACGGTTGTAGCAGCTACAGCACCTACGAATCACACATCATAACAAGATAACATGATAACATGATAATTGATAACAAGATGAACAAAAAAAAAATATTTTATTTAAATAATATAAACTATAAAATTAACCAATAATTACTATGTATGTAATTCTATACTCTATCCAACTCACGGGGGGGGCGGTCGCCCCCTTCGCCCCCCCCACAAGGACGCCCCTGCGATAGTCCGACAGTATATATATTATATGTGTATACTTTATATACGCGTAATGCGTATACGGACGAGGGTTTTCGAGGGGGGGGGGTGAGTCTGCAGAGAACCAATCGAGTTTTCCCGGAGGTCCCTTAATCCGGGCCCTTGCAGCAGCTCGGGTCGTCGGTTTATATACGCAGGGTTTTCTGAGCGTCCCCTCGCCAGTCTCTATGCGAGAGTGAGCGTAGACAATAATATAAAGAATCACATATGACGTATGTGTTTGTGTGTGTGTGAGGATAGGTCGTTCCTTTATATCTGTCTGTCTCTATGCGTCCCTCTCACTCTCTGGTACACATTTATATTATATATATATATTTATATTATGTTCGAAAGGGTCGTAGAAGAATACGCGACTGTATAGGCCTCGTTGGCTTCCCTCTTTCCTCCGCGCTGCAGTGCCGACCGCCGCTTCCTGCCCACCGGTCGCCGCGCTGCGTCCATCCCGAGAGAGGTCCGTCCGACCGACTAACGTCGCGCGAACATCGCACGCGGGCCAACCGCGCGCCGCGTACCCCGTCCTGCCGGCTCGGCCACGACCTCGGCGCCGCCGCCAACTCACGGCACCGCGCGCGTATTGATTTTCCGCCGGCTCTGCCACGGTCGTTTCAGCCTCTCGTCGGACCCTCCTGATGGATTGCGCGCGCGCACGCGTGTGTGCTGCGGGAGTGTGCCCTCGCCGTATATATATATATGAGTCGCATATAACATCGTATCCACTATTCGGACGTGAAGCAAGAGGATAAGGTATAAGCCCACTCGTGACGAGATCACGTCACCGCCTCTCTTCCCCCCCCCTCGATCCATCTCGATCTGTCTATATATAAAAGCGTACTATGTAGACGCCGATGACTGTATATAGTGCTGCAAGGGGAAAGGTTTTTCCGAGGAATATATAAGCAGGACCCGCGAGAGGTGCCAAGCCGCTATTATTAATATCGCGTCATCGATATACGATTGCTTCGGAGTACGGTGGAGGGGGGATGGAGGCTTTTCCGACCCGCGAACAAGAAGCGAATTTCAACGTTACCAAAGTCCAACGGTATTTCGATCAAAGCATATAATTACACCGGTGGCACTCGGATCGTTGTGGCATGACATAATATATAATATAGTTATAATATGTATTATTATTTATATACGATAAAAGCCTACCCTGCACGTGAAAGTCGAGGAAAATACCGAAATAGAGTATAATGTTATGAATAATATAATATCATGCGAATAAAACGAAACCTCCTACATCTCGCGGTATACACGCGTGGGATATTGATAACAATATTGATAACCTGCAACAGTCTTGCGACTTTATCACGCTGCACTGCACAAGTCTCATCTCATTACACGCTCTACGTTAGGCATACACTACAGCAAAAGTACCCTCTTCCACATCAGATGGATATCCGCAAGATCCGATGTGTATATACGTTGGCATTTCCATATAGACGATAAATGTTTTTTTCCCATCTCTTTTTTTTTTATCTTCGCGTATTACGCGTATACATGCGAGCGCATACACACGTGAATTTATGGATCATGTACGGTTTCCGACAGCGTGGTTTGGGGAGGAAATAAAAAAACGAAAATGGTACATATATGTTTGCGCTGCTGCATGTTTCCATCTCGAAAATAATAATATTATAACATCGCAAAACTTTTATGTACCCGGGTTACGGTCCCGCGGGGTATACATACATATATATACTGCTAAGTCTTCGTCACGCACCAAGACACGAGAGGCCAAGCCGGTATTAACCGGTACTCGGGAGTTGTATTATTTTTATTTTATTTTGCATACGTCGTGTGATTGTTTACTCAAAATCGATTTGCCCTGATTGGCACGGTACCTACACGAACTGCATCGCTAGGTTTAAATGCGTCGCACGACGGTACATTTTTTAATTTGAATAATTTGATAATATACATCCTATAATATTATTATGATCGTCTATTATTATAAGCTCATGGTAAACCACTTTTTTACTCCTAAATTTAACAATAATGTCGTACCTTTAAAGGTGCAATCTGCATAGTAGTTACATATATAGGTATAGAGACTTACCACTCACCTCTTACATAATATAAAGTGGGTGGCAGCG